TGCAAGGCAGGATGGGGCCCTGGTGCCCAAAGGTGTCTTTTCTGCCCCACGTGCCAGATTCTCAGCATTTGGGAAAAATTAAGCTCTTTGAAACTGTCTCAGCTCCTGGAAATGGTGTTTGCAGATAAAGAGCATTTTACCACAATGCTTCAAAGTGTTGCTGACACTGGGAACCAAGGGAGCACCCTTTGGAGCTCCAGGAGGGATGCTTATGGCTGTTAGTGTTTTGCTAGTGAGACCAGAGGCCTTTCTGGAAGCGTATCTCCCTATATCAGGATGAAATCATGTTTTGAGTCTGCCTGGCAAAGGGACAGGACATCTGGGAGGTCTGCTGTTTGAGGACCAGGCATTTCTGTCTGTCCTTGTGCCCCTTCTCATGCCTGAATGGGCTGAACGGTTTCGACCAAATTCCACAGGAAGGTAAATACCTAAATAACAAATCTGTGTACCTATATGGGAAATGGGCTGCTGAAGGGGGAAAAGAACCCAAACCCTGCTGAGGTTTGGACAGCCTTGAGTTTGCTGTAATCGCTTTGGCCTGGTTCCTGCAGCTGATAGGTCACAGCCAACTTGTTCTGCGAGAGGAGCTCTACAAGGAACAAGAGAGGGATTTTATAGGCATGGGCAGGGATGACAGAAACCTCAGCCTAATTCAGCTTCAAAATCAGTCGAGGGAGAGACAAGCATCCGTAGGAAAACAGAGTGGTTTGCTCTGCTGTTCACCTGACTGCCGGTCTCCTGTCTCCAGGTGGGAGCTCAAACCAGCTTTTTGCTCTCCACTGGAACGTTGTATGTATTTCGCATTGGAATATGTATTTTATAAAGCCCCAGACTGGGAAGGGGAAGTTTCTTTCAGAGACCGTCTGTGAAGTGGATGATGTCTGGTCCATTCCCATGGAAGTCTCAGTTTGCCAGAGCAGGGAGAAATGGCAAAGCTTAACAATGAATGAGTAATTATAAACATTTGTCCACAGCACCTGGCTCGGGGCATAAGCCTTCTTTCAGTGTACTCCAGTGGTTTCACGCTGCCCTGCTCCCCTTGATGGCATTCATGACACCTTCCATTTACTGCAAGCAGGCAAAGTGCCCTGCAGTGTCTCTGGTTTTCCATTTGAAAGAGGCTGTTCAGTGTATTTATTCTCCTTTTTGAATGATATTTTTGATAGACTTCTGTCTCTCCATTTTCCAACTTGCGTTTTTCTCCCTTTTATTTAACAATTATCACTACTTAGGAATGCTTTCCTGCCCTTGGTGTTAATGTGTCCTGGAGCTGCACTAGAAGTAGGCTGCACAGCCCCAATTCCTCTTACCCACTGTCACCCAATGTATAAACCCCAAACTATCAGAGGCTTTAGAACAAATTCTCTAATAGGTAAATCAAAAGAAATAACACCGTGGTTTAAAATCCTGGGAGTGCTGGAGATGGAAAACATCACTCAGCTCACTCTGAGGTCCCTCACACAGTTGACAGCTGGAAGATGAGCAGAGCTCTCTTACATGAACATCAATTCCTCTTTCAAGAGAGAGTATCTTATATAGCTGTATCAAAGCTAGACTTGATCCCAAGGTTTTGCTTTAATTAATTATAGCATGGCTTTTTCCCCTGCATCTGCCAATATTGCACTAGCAATAAGAACACATGAATAAGACACAGTGTTTTTGGTTTCTGCTAAAAATTGCTGGGTATTGCTATCCTTGTTTACTAAATGGGAAACTGAGGCATGGGAAAGGCTTTGCATGTCAAGTTGCCTGGGAGGGTACGTGTGCTCCTCCTCTCCCACCTCCTTTCTGTCTTGATGGCACGAATTAGCTGGGGCGGGATGGGTCCTGGTGTGTCTGCATAGGACCTAGCCCACATGAGCCTTACCTTAGCTGAACCAAACTGGTCTCATCACAAACAAGGCGGTTAGCGTGACTGTGAGCCTGAGGGGTTTCGGGTTTGCTTTCTCTGCTTTTATTCCGGTCAATCCATCAATACTGTGCGGAGGGGACGATTTTTATCTTCTTTATCAAGTTTGAGCAGCTGCTGCCATTGCTCTTTAAAGCACTTAGCTACCAGAGCACCAAAGCTGCCCTCGAGCCTCTCACCCTTCCCTACTTTTACCTTTAATATACTGCTTCTGGCTCCCTACCAGAAAACACCCATCTGCATCCCCCATGGGGGTAGCCCCAGGCTCACAGATCAGCACAGGAATCTGTTTGGGCAGGATCAGGCCCCTTCGCAGAGCTTTCAGAGTGCACTTTGTAGCAGCAATGCCTTGAAAGTAAAGCTACAAGGAACATGCCTCTGTCAGATTTGCTGCCTGAGTCATTCACAGTGAAGCACAGAGATTTATCAGCAATGAAGCTGGGGGAGCCGGTTTTCAGCAACTCCATTTCTGCATCTCCCCCAGACCATCACAGTCAAGCTTTTCTCCCCTCCTTTGTTTCCACCAGTGCTTTTCTTCTCTCCCAAGCCCTTAAACAACCTTGACTGCAAGGAGCTGGCGATCATCAGAAAGCCCCATCCGTTCAAAGTGAAAATATTGATGCTTCTGCGTCATTTCATAGCACATCTGGGGTCCCTCGGGCCCACATACCATCACTGCCCGGCACGCCAGGCCAAGAAAAGCATGAGGAAGAAAAATAAATGTGATGACAGTTGAGCTCTTGCAAATGAGTCTTGGACTGAAACAAGGCAGAAAAGAGTAAGCATCTTGCATGGGCTCACATACGGAGCAGAGCTAGCGACAGGGAAAGAGGGGAACGTGCAATGTTCACACCGTCAGGGCAAAGGTCTGCAACATGAGCTTGCAGCACTAATATAGGCAGATTTCCTGCCTAATAATGCTAAAGGAAATGTCTGGGCGCTTGCTGATCAGGCGTGTTACAACGCCTGTGTGTGAAGCAAGAGGAGGGAGACTGGGCTGCTGGAGTGGTGAGGGGCTGCTTCAGCTCCTCCAGCCATGGTGTTCTGGGCACAGGTCTTGCCCATGCATGTGTTGGAGCTTTGGCATAAAATCCATCCTGGCTGGGTGCGCAGGTCTGTGCTTTGAGTCTATGCTTGGGCTGAGTGAGCTTCTGCTAGGGTGACTAAAACTCACTGTTCACAGGGGCTTAAATTCGCTGTTTGGGTTTAAAGAACAGAGTCCTTTTTCAAGGAGGAGGCAGGAGAAGTTTGCCTCCATCTCCTTCACAATGAAGAGTTAACTTGAATCCGAGCAGCACATTTTGGGATTTTATTGTCTTCCAATGCCACCATGCAATTCCCTGGGCTGCTTTTTCCAGCCTTCTAAGCTATTCACTTTCCTCTCCCTTCCTGCACACCATGAGGGTGGTTTATGCACACTTGGCTGCAGCTCAGTTCCCTGCGGTCCAATCCATCCCTCAGCCTTGAGGCTCCAGAATATGTACTGGATTCTGATTAACTTCTGCTCCACCAGCAACCTGGGAAACTTCTCTAGAGATGCTGGAAATCTCCAGCAGTTGATATTTATTAAGGCTTTTGCTGCCTGCAAGACGTGTGAAAGCCAACCCAAGTGATTGATAGGCCCAATCTGCATCGCTCCGTGCTTTCTTTGCCAGGTTGAGATTTGGCTTGAATGAATGAAATCTGGGATTCTTTCCTGAGTGGCAGCACGGCCAGCTGCAGCTTCTGGCTGGGTTGATAGCAGAGACAAAGTAAAGGCGTAGCAGGACCAGGCTGTGTGAGAGCCAGGTAGACATCTGCCATCTGAGTCCATGCCTGTCTCACTTGCACAACAGTGGCCCCCAGGACTGCTGGCTCTTCCTGTCCCGGTGTCCATCAGCTAAAGCCACAAACAGTAACAGCACTGAGTTATTTAGGGTTGAGTTCTCGCACCATCTGCATCTAGAGCTACATCTGCCCCTGCTTGTTTGGGATGAGCTGTAACTCATGCCTTCAAAGCAAACCCAGACTGCCAAGTTTCAGTGCAGTTCCTCATGTCCACTAAATCTGGAGGGTGTTCTGTCACTACTGGTATACCCCCTCCAAATCCTTTTGATCACAGCTGCCTTTCCCACACATCTGCCACGGCAAACAAACGACCTCAGCCAACACGTAACATGTGCCCCACGTTAATCTGCAAAAGGCATTCTGTGAGATGTGTCAGGAAGCTCCCTGCAGCTCAGGACTTGCAGGGATGCCTTGCCAAGGGGGTATCTTTCAAGCAAAAAAAAAAGAGCTCGACTGCGTGCAAACAGCCTGGGGTGGGGTTAAATATGGGAGCAGACAGCAGGTTTGCACGACAGCCGAGATGCTGAATCACAGGGCATCCCCTTTCAGTGCTGGGAGGGGTGGGGAAGTGCAGAGGCTCTGCTCTGGGTAGATGGCAAACTATTGCACACTGCAGAGTCTCGACATGCTGGACTGTGTCTGGGCAGAAACCCTCGGTGGAAAACAAAGCTACAGAACCACCGGTTTCGAAAAGGCTTGGACATGTAATTGAGAAGAAAAACTGTGCAAAACATGTTGTTTGCAAGACTAATGCTGTCTAGCGCAGTGATTTGTAAGTGTTCATTTACTCAGCCATTGTTTGCTCTATTGTTCCAGTGCTCTCTCCTTAGGTAAATATATTTCCTTGCCCTTTTCTACCTCAAATCAGATCTTCTCAATGATGCTTCTCCTGCTTGTGTGAGTGAGTTAATAAAAAGGATGCAAGCATTAACTCTGGGGTGACTCATTGGTATTCCTCTGTTGGTTCAAGCTGGTGTTTGTGGGGCAGCAAGTCCCAGGCTTCATATGCAGCTCAAGAGTGAGTTTCAGGTGACATCTCCATGTCTCTGCAGAAGCAGCCTTGGAACAGGCAGTGACAACCCATTGTATCTGTAAATGACAGTATTGAGGCATTCAGCAGGGCAAGGTTGCAAAGTCTTTGTGATGAAGCTTCTACTGTGACCAGGTGGGAAAATCAGGCCTTGGGATAGGAAGCTCCTTGCTATGTATCACAGCAAGCCCAGGTGAAGGTCTTTGTCTCTCTGCTCACCAGATCATGCTACTTCCTTGGTAGTCATCAGGGGTCGTTTTGGCTGCTGTGACTTTAAAAATGAGGAGCAGAGGGAGGTGTTCACATTTTCCCACATGCTGGAGCCAAGGAGCTGTTAAACCTCATGTGAGGTCCTGCTGCAAAGGGGATGGTTGTCCCATGAGCTCACTGTCTGCTGGGTTGGCGAGTGCATGGGGAGCAGGTGGCTCTGTTTGACAGCGGTGATGCCGATGGGCTGCAGGCTGTGCTCTTCCCCATCCCGGGCTCAGTCCTTCCCTTCCTAAAGCCACCAGAGATCCAAGGAAGACAACATCCCAGGTAGAATGTAGCGGGAAGTTTTGCACTGATGTAATATTCTTAATAAGAAATCAATGATTGGCTCAATGGGCAGCGTATGGTTGAAAATGGTTTGGGGTTTCCTTTCCCCGAAAGTATTTTCGAAATGGGAATGTTTAAACAAACACCTACAAGCAAGCTGTAACTTGGAAGAGGTGTTTAGATGAAATTAAACAAGCCTAATCATATTGGTCCATTGCTTTTTGACAAGAGAGAGAAATAGTTCCCAAGCATCTCAGCTGTAGCTGGCCTGTTGAGGGGAGGCTGAACTCTGTATAACAGCTTGCTCGAAACAATGAGCTCATGTGTCTGTCAGCACCACCCCTGCATCCAACTTCTGCATGCATGTGTGTGTGCTGACATGCATGCTGAGTAATGTACTTGGAGCCATTTGGAGACATGTCTCCTGAGAGGCCATGCAGAATTACACGTTACAGGTAGATTTTACCCTTGGACTGCATGAGCAGGTGTTGCTCGCATGGTTGGAGCCTGTATGTATGGATTTGGGAGCAGGATTTGGATTGTTTTGAAGGTTTTCTACTCTTTAGTCCTAAATTTCAGGTTTCATGCTTGCCTTGCAAGGTTTGCTCAGGAATATCGTCGCCTGCACAGCACTCGTTTTTGTTTGCACCAAAACTGAGGCAACTGGCAGCAACAATTGCATGCTGTGAGTTATAGGTACAGGGAAAATTGAAGATTGTGTTGTCCCATAGCATGCACCTGAATATCAGTGGTGGAAACAAAAGAAATAAAAGCCAATCCATCCCAATAATACACAAAGGTCTACAGGGTTTTGGTATTTTAACAAAAGTACCTTCCTTTCTTTCCTCCACAGCTGAAAACATGCTAGTTTGATGGTTTTCTTTAGTGTCAGGAGCAGATAATAAGAACAAGGGGGCACTCAGTTGGGTTGCCAGTTTCTTTATATCATGGGTGCTGTGATGTCCTGGGATTATTCCTGCAGGCTCCATGCAATCAAGTGGAGACATGTCATATTGCTCTTCTCAGCCTGTCCTGAGGACATGGCTTGGGCCAGCTTCAGGCTTCCCTCTAACTTTAGGTTAAATAGCCTTTCTGTGGCCTAGGGCATGTCTGGGATGCAGGGTGTGGGCTTGGCTGCCCTCAGCTGGCTGCTGGTCATCCCTTGGGGACAGCAGTGTATTGCAGTGATTTCTGATAGGCAAGCGAAGCACTTGGGATCTGTTCAACAAAAGAGTTTAAATTTGCATTATTAAAATGTTTTGCATGTCATCTAATGCAGGGGATGGGATTTGGTAAACAGCCTTGTAATTTATGCCCAAATATTCCTTGGCACATTGGCTCCTCCGTGACAAACGATACTGATAGGGGTACAATGCCATACCTTCTTCTCCCTCCTGCCACCATCTGCTTGCAATATTCATGCCTGAGCATGTACAAAGTGTTCATGCCCATAAGAACTGGCCCATCTTATCAAGCTAAATATGAACAATGTCAAAATGATTACAGAAGAACTGAGCAAAAATTGCTTAAACATCTACTACTCATCATTAATAGCTTGTTATTGGCACAACTGATGTGTATTACTATCACATACTACACTGAGCCAGTACATAAATGTGTTTTTTTAGCATATTTTTAATGTGGCTAATTTATCTGTTACTGTCACGCTGGGGCTGTTAGCTTTGAACAAATGGCTGTTATTAATCACTGGAGAGCTATTAGACACCACAGCCCCGGTGTTAAATCAGCTCAGGAGTGGCACTTGTAGGAATATTCAAACATGACTTCCAAATTGCCTGGGTACTGCTCGTGTGGTTAACGCCTCTGGGATCAGAGCCATCGAGCGCTGCAAATACTGCTCCTGTGTGTCGAGCTTGCCCGGTGGAAATGCCTTTCTCTAAAGAGCAATTTCAGTTTAAGGCCTTATTTATTATGGAGTCGCTTTAGGAGGGGAAAAAGAAGAGAAAAGAATTGCAACTGGTTTACACCCCAGGCATGATTTCCCTCTGGCAGATTTGGGGCTTTCTGAGCAGCAAAGGGTGTCTTTCCCTGCGTTACCCAGCTAATCTGGTGATGCTGAGGGAGGTCAAGATCCACAAGGAATGAGGAGAGGTTAATTCTTTGTGCTAAACACCACGTCCTGGGAGGCTGGGCCAGTCTCCTGGGCACAGATGAGTCCTTAGATGTTTGTGGGACCTGAAGAACAAAGATATTCAGAGCAGTTTAAGCTGCAGGAGAATTTGGCTGAAGTTTTCCTGGTTTCAACTTGATTTTCATCAGGGAAAACTAAGCTTCGGAGAGATTGACGTTTTTAAACAGCACCAAGCTAGTATCAAACCCAGAAGTGTCCCTTTCAGTCCCCTGCTCTTACCAGTGTCCCATGTGAGGGGGACACCCCTGTTTGTCCAGCCTATTGCATGACACATTCTCCTTGAGATAATGGCAAAAGATAACAAGGATTTAGGTTAGACCTATCCACTCAACAGCCAGGGAAGCGTTACTCTGGTTCAGGCGATTTCCAGGGCTGAATGGGGATGAAAGAAAGATGGATCTGAATGGAAGGAAAGAAACCTCAATGAGAGCTCTTTCAAAGGGGAGATGGTTTAGACAAAACATTTTGGGAGCTTAATGAACTCGTGTTTTCCAGCAAGAGACTGATTCATGAGGAACCTTTGATTCATGAGACCTGCTGGACTCATATATCCAGTAAATGTATGTACTTTACTGGCTGCTCTAAAAGAGCTGCCCCAAAGCAGCTGCGAGTGGGAGATGTCTGGCGGTCACCTATGATGCTCCACAAAGGTTTCTTCAACTGCAACCACATTTAACTTGGAAGAATCTCACTGCTGTTCTGGAAGGGCTGCTGTACCTTGTGTTTTGCCTGTCATTTCTGTAAGCTAAGTCACCACACATGTGCAAGTACAAATCTCTGTAGCGGAGTGGTCTCTTCATCAGCCTTGTGGTAGGCTTCAAAGGGAAAGCTTTGGAAGGGTTTTGGATCCCATGAAAACACATTATCCCAGATCTTGCGGATTGCCAGTACAAATCCACTTTAACTTTACAGCTTTCTGTGGCTTCCTCTAATGATGGCTATTTACATGTGCCTCCTCAGAGCATCGCAAGGGAGTTACCCAGAGAAATACCACAAAGGGCTCGTAATTAATGGCAGTTATAACTGCACCCCAGGGCAGCAATCCCAAGGGGCTGCTGCTGAACTGACTGTGAAAAAGGGAACTTTCTGTCCCTTTCCTGCAGTCTTTTACCATGCCTTCAGTGGCCTGGGCAAACATGAGTTTGAGAAGGCCTATCATTAACATTGAGTTGTCAGCTGAACGAAGGTGTGGGCCACAGCTTTGTATTGGCACTAGGTTCTATATATTCACCTTGTGTTTGTGTCACTAGCAACCTTACAGCTGGGTTCTCCCATCTGGAATAAACCTAACAGGGTGCCTATTGCAAAACCCTCTGTGCAAGGGCAGATGGAGCCCAGGGATGATCCAATGGGACCTCCTGCATTATTCAGGTCTAAGATTCCCACAGATTATTTCAGTGTTAAGGTGCCTGTGTGGGACTGAACATGTGCAGAGAGAGCCGAGAGCTCTGAATTTGCACTTATTTCTGGACAGTTTTGTTCAACTTTTGGATCACAGCCACGAAACCTCACAGCATCTTTTGTCCTTTTGGTTTCAGGGCCTTCTCTGGAGGTTTTGGAGTCAGGTCACTTCTCTGGTCTCAGGAAATAGAGCCTCTCACTGTTGGTCCTTTGCTGTCATCTCTGTTTCACATCACAAAGCTTCCTACACCAAACAGCTGCCTACCAGACCCTCATCTGGCCCTGCAATTAGTGCAAGGTAGCAGAGGGTGTTAGTTTTTCCTTAGCACATACCAATTTCTCCCCTTGAGAAATTAATTCTGCGTTGGTTCCAAAAGGGTGGCCCCAAAGACTGCAACCCTTCACTAAACAAGGTCCCCTGGGGTTCCACAGCCATTCAAACCCCTTTTCCATGCTGCTAGGTTGGTGTGGCATGATCTTGGTCATACAGCAGAAAGGGCACAGGGACAGTCTCCCTCTGCAGCCAGGCAGGTTCGCTGCCAGTACTAACCTTGACTGGGCATCAGAAGACAGAGCAGTGCACTAGCTCTTTAATAAACTCATTGTATTCACACTGGGATGCTCCCAAATATAAAGAAATAATGCCACCAGTTGAGCTCATCACATTTTGGTGCTCCTCAAGGACTAGCTGCTCCCCAGGACCTTCATATCTGCAACCAGTGTCAATGCAACGAATGCTAGTTCTTTCTCTCTTCAGGACCACATTTCTGGCAGCTTGCACTGAAGATCCCCAAATGATCTTTTCTGGCTGTTGCGATGTGAAGTTGCAGGCAGGTAAAATACAGACAAAATAGATTAACTGCCTTGTTCCTTTAACCCCAAGCTCTTTCCTGGCTTGTAATGGAAAACTAAAGCCTGCCTTTCTTATAACTCGGATCTAAACAGTAGCTGCTATGAAGTATTAGGTTGGAGTATGAACTCTGTGTGAAAGATGAAGGAGGAATGATGTATTTTAGAAAGGATTTTAGTGGGTCCTAACTTAAAAGCATCAGTATAAATTCATTGCAAGTAATACGCTCTTAATTATTCATTTTCCTTGGCACCGGTTAAAGAGCCAAGGAATGGCTTCTGTCTCTTCATATTTAGTATATTATTGTTTGAAAAAGGCCAGGGGGAGGCCAGACTGTGCAGAAATAATATTCCCCCTTATATATACGCATACATATTACCAGCAGCCCTAGTAAAGGGGAATATAATCACCAGCAGCTGAGAGACAATGACATTTTTATAGACCTCCTGGCAGATCTGCAGTGGGAGAGAGCCTGACAACTCTTTGGCTTTGGACCACATTCCTCTGCAACCTCTGCACAGGGAGCTCTGAGTTTCTCCCTCCCTGGAAACCAGCTCACATCAGCCAAACAGCAGCAGCCTCATCAGGTTGAACCAT